ATTTACAACTCTAGCTACAACAAAGATTAATAAACTTTTAATATGAATAAAAAATATGTTAAAAATATTTTTATTTTTATAATTTTATCTAAATTGACAAGATTATTTTTTATTTAAATCATTAAACAAATAGACGAGAAATTAATAATAATAATATAGCAAGATCTAGAAAGTAAAAATCATAACAAATTTTATATCAATTAATAAACAACAAACTAATAGCAAGAGGTAAGAGGGAAGAAATAGGGGAAAAGAAAAACAACAAAATTTATACCTTATATTATTCGGAACCAAATAAATTTTCCAAGGTACTCATTCAAAGATTAATTTTTGGGTAAACTATATCAATGAAGACTTAATTATTTAACACTTTTATTCTTATAACCGATCTTTTAATTTTATCAATCAGATCATCTAACTATTTAATTGTATGCAATCAAACCACTTGTCAATAATATTTGATCCTAATTTTAATAAACTAAAATAAATTTAATCTTTAAATTAAATGTGCTATGTATTATTGGATGCCAAATGTCATAACACGTGTCATTATCTGATTAGATGCACTGAAATCGACAATGAGGGGGCTTGAACCTTGGAAACTCTTGGAAAAGGAAATAAGCACTCAATCATTGAGCCAAGTTGATAATTTACTTTATAGTTCTCGACTTACACTATAGATTTTGTATTTTATATTCTTAAAATATACCTTAACTTAAATTAACATATTAAATTAAATTCAAATCTCTTAACTTATAAAAACTATATATATTTTGTTTTTATCTTAATTTAAAAATATTTTAGTCTTCTATTAACTTAAAAATATATATAATAGTTTTATCTTTATTTTTTTAAAATGTTTTATTTTTAACTTATTTTAAAAGTATTCAAAACATATATTTTATTCTTTACTTAACTTAAATATTTACATTTTATTCTTATGATATTTGAATCTTAAGATAAAAATAAAATATATTTTGTAGTTTATAAAAGTTTAGGGTCCACTTGGTTCTAGAAAATATTTTTTATTTTTTATTTTTAGAAAATAGTTTTTATTTTCAATTTTTGGAAAATTAGAAACTACGTTTGGTTAATATAAATGAAAGATTGAATCACAAATAAAATTATAAAAATTATTATATAAAAATGAACAAATAGTTATTAAATAACTAAATTAAACTATAATTATTAAAAAATAATAAACAAAAAATATTATTGTAAGCAAGAGCACACAAAAATATCATTAAAATAAAAAATACGTTTAGTAGTAATTGAGGTCCTCAAACTTGGGGGAGGGAACTAGTGTAGTCCCTAAACATTTTTTGCATTCAATGTGACTCTTAAATTGAGAAACAAAAATCAATCTAACATTTTAAGCAATGAAATCAAGCATTGACTGTCACACCGCTTACATGACAATTCACGAAGCTTATATGACAATCTATAATATTGATGTTATAGTTCACAATATTGTTATGGTAATGCACGGTGGACAATTATGTGAAAAATGAGTTCAATTACGTTTTGGCTAAGTTCGAGAACATAATTGATTTTTTTAAAGTTTGAGGACTTATTTAATTTTTTAAAATAATAAATTATTTAACTTTAAAATATAAAATATAAGCAATTATTAAGATATTCAATACATTAAATATATAAATTATTAAAAAAAAAGTTTAGTTTAAGGATCACATTAAGTGTAAAAACACTTTAGGGACCATTGTGAACTTGAATTGTTTGATTAAAGTGATTGAATTATAATTTTTAGAAAATTGCATGGGAAAAACGGTAAAGTGGAAAACTAATTTGTTCATCTTTGACTATTGAAAGATGACAAGGCTGATATTTATATGATTTTGAGGATGATAAGGATATGTATCTTGGTTTAATGGTGATTATGAAGTTTTATTAAGGGTAAAATGGTATTTTCCAAGTTAATGAATTAAATAATATTTTTAAAGGATGATAAGCATGATATCAATAAAAAATATCATGCCAATGTTCATCTTCTCCACCATCTTCACGTGAGAAAGCTTCCAAGGTAAGAAAAATATTTTATTTTCAATTTTTGAGCTAATTCCTTTGGAATTGGAGTTATGCCGTGAAATAGGAAAATGATCTAAGCGAAAAATGCTATCTTTTAATACAAGTAATTCTTTCTAATCTTGCTGGATTTCAAAGATCTCAAATCTAAGGGTTGATGAAATTGATGATAAATCTTGATGATTTAGAGGTTGTAGATTCGTTTTCAAGCTTGATTTATGGTTAAAACATGTTCAACCTTTCTAGAGATTTTTATGCAAAATTCGACCAAATTATAAGTTGGAGAATTTTGTGTTCTAATGAAAGTTGATTAGGTATTTGATTGTAGAGATGTTAAAAGGTTGATTTAAAGTTGATTTCATGCTTGAATGAAATCAAAATCGAGCAAAATTATGAAAACGTAGTTTAAAGGATAAAGTATTCGATTATGATTTATCTAAGTGATAAAATGGTGAAGAACCATTTCATGTAATTGGAAAAGTTGATTTCATTGATAAAAGGAATTATTAAGTGTTAAAGATTTGGTAGAAAATAAGTTCCAAGTATATTATGGAATTGTTATGGGATGTGTTTATGTTAGTACAATACGAACATAAGTATTGTTATGAATTTGTGATTTTATACAGATTGTGATTTAAATGTGATTGAAGCAAATCAAGTATAAAGAGTTATTGTGGATCGTAGTGAGGCATCCATATTGTGGATTATATAAAGTGTCAAGGTGAGTGCAATACATGCATGATATGGTACATAGATGTATTATACATCGTGTACGTAGATGTTTTATACATCATCTGGTAGACTTGCGATAAGTCGACCTTGTTTTATCAACATGAGATTTGATATGGAAGTTATTTTGGGTATGAACTGCCCTAATGTTTATACATGGTTATACGTTTCCATGGATGATTTAATTGATGACTATATGCCCAAATATGTTATTGAGGTTCAGTGGTATTAATGGCATGCCATAGAGTCTAGCAGCTACAGAATTAAGTAGTACTATAGTGTCAAATAAGATACATAGTACAAGTCATGTGGGAAAACCTGACCTCAGCATTACAGTGCATTATTAGGTGAGCAATGCTCGACCTCAGAACTTTTGTGTAATATTTGACTCCTATACCATGTTCCTCATAGATTGAGAATTGTGGGCAATAGTAGTGGAATAAAAATGATTTTATTTATATTATGTTGTTTTGATCTTGACATGGAAATGCATGCATGAATTGTGTTGCACTGTCTATTGTTTTAATTGCCTCACTAAGTATATACTTAGTGAGTGATGATTTTCACGCGTAGGTAAAAAGCCAATAGTGGAATAAAGAGTTCAAGTTGACATCAAGCATCAAGGAGTGTATATTAATATCAGTAAGACATCGTAAGATGTAATGTTGACTTTATTAGTGACATGTAATTATTAATGTTTTACTTGTTTTGTTGAACAAATTTGGAAACCAAATGGCATTTTTTATGAATTTATATGTATTTTCGGAAATTACTGTAGCGGTCACCGAGGCATTACTATAGCAGTGCATCGATGCACAATTTTAATTCGAATTTTTGGTGCATTGATACACTTTTCACGTTACTGTATCAGTGCATCGGTTACTGTTCACTATTCACTATTCACTATTCACTATTCACTATTCATTAAAAAATCTTGTGTTTTAATTTTTTTTATAATGAAACATAATTCATATGATATGATATTTTTATAATATCATTTATCATTTTAAAGGAAATAAATTTAAATAACTTTTGAAGTGGAAAGGGTTTTCAAAAAAAATTCGGGTGACATCTATAATCTATATAGGTATAATTATACGGGTTATGGGTGTTAGAAGAACTCAACTTAGTCTGAACTAAATTCGATCCAATCTGAACTGAATCTAAACTGAATGAATCAATCCAAAATGATCTAACCTAGACCCAAACCAAATTACCCGATTCTCAGCTCTGGATGTTATACCCTAATTAAAAAAATCCTATATAAGAAACAAAATGTATACTTTAATAACAAGGGACCCAGCTTGGCTGCTGGCCCTTATCTTGCGATACACAGCTAATTATATGAAGAATCGGTAGAAAATTTTCAAAATAATAAATAATATGCTATTAATTAATAAATAAACAAAATACACGCGAGTTTTGTGCCACTACATGATATGCAATGTAGCCGACCTCGGCCTTTATGGATATCTTTGTTTTAATTATAATTTAATATCTCACTTCCTTCCCTGTCACTCCAATTTTTACACATTTCCTTATATTTTTTTGTAGTTTTGTTTATATTTATTTTTTTAAATAATATAAAATATTATAACGTAATGTTTATTATACTTTTCTTGAACAATTGATAATACATATATATTACAGGCACAATTGTTCAAACTCTGAACCTTTAAAGAGTATAATATTCTCTTTTATTATTAAAGCCACTCGATTGGTTAATTTAATCTATATTTATTAGTATAATGATAATTATAATGTTTTTCATTAGATGGAATAATTGCAAAACGTATCAAGAAGCTAAAGGTTTTAGTGTAAAGTACATAAATGATTCCCGACTATAATATATTATTTTGTTAAGTCTTTTTATTTAAAAGTTACAAAATAGTCCTCCGACTATAGGGTGTTGCTTTGTTGAGTCCCTCAACTATTAAAAAGTTATAAAATAGTCACTTGATTATTCATTTTATTTCACACTCAACCATTTGAGATTATGGTATAAGATTTTAAAATATCTCAATTAACAGGTTAACGTCAAGCTCAGGGTGTCGTTTTTTTTAACGGAAAATTACAAGTTTGAAACATAATGAATAGTTGGGTGACCATTTGATAACTTTTAATAGTCAAAAGACTCAATAAAACAATATTTTTTAGTCAGGGGACCATTAACTCGTTTTCCCCTATAAATTTGATCCATAATTCTGTACTTGACAACCAAAACACGAGACAGAAAAATCCGAAGATTTCACAATGTCAACTCCCTCTTTCCATATGTTCCGATTAGTCTTGGTATGTTGTTTTTCCATTCTTCTTCTCATGTCCATCTGCGTGCAAACAATCTCAGCCGCTACAACCGACAAAGGTTGCACCAAAACTTATAAAAAGTTCATCAAATCCGCCTGCAATTCCACCACATACCCCAAAATCTGCTACGGAGCTCTCTCCCCAAATGCATCCGCCATTAAAACCGATCCCTACAAGCTTTGCAGCATTGCCTTGTCCGTCACTCTAAAAGCCACATACAAAGCATATTTATCCATCGATGCGCTCTCGAAGATGAGGGGATTGAGTCGGTCCGAGAAAGAAATCATTGGCGATTGTGCCGAAACTACAGATGATGCCATCTACCAGCTGCAGAAATCCTTGAAGGCACTGGCTCGTTTAAAAGGCTCGAATCATAAGGCTGATGAAATTAGTGATTTGAACACTTGGGTCAGCGCAGTGTTGACGGATGAGTACACATGCACCGATGACTTTGAGGGCCAGAAAGTAAGAAAAGATGTTAAGAACACAATCAATAAGCGTATGTTGTATCTTGCCAAATTGACCAGCAATTGTTTGGCTCTGTTCAAGCTTCTGGACTGATCAAGTATATTAATGTATTATCATTGATAACTTCCATCCTTTTTTATTTGATTTGTTTTTGAAAAATATATGTATATTCTGTAAGTCAATTGTATGGTAACTTGGTAAGGGTACTAAAAATATTGTATGCTATGGGTGCTTTGATATTTTCGATATATGTATGATCGATGTAATAAAAATTGTTGCAATATGACATATTCTCTGCTAGATAATTTATATGTTGGGTAAATTACATTATCCCCTGACTTGATTATAGGGTGTTGTTTTATTGAGTCTCAGACTATTAAAAGTTACAAAATGGTCCCTCAATTATAGAAAAATGCTTTGTTGAGTCACACGACTATTAAAAGTTACAAAATTGTTACCCGACTATTCATTATGTTCCAAATTCATCCTTTTCCATTCAAAAAATTGACGATTATCATATCTCAGTCAGCATGTTAATATCCAGCTCAAACGGCTGCTAATTTTTTAAATGAAAAGGATGGGTTTGGAACATAATGAATAGTTAGGTGGCCATTTTGTAACTTTTAATAGGAGGAGCTCAACAAAGCAATTCTCTATTGTCGAGGGATTATTTTGTAATTTTTAATAGTCAAATGACTCAATAAAACAATATCCTATGGTTGGGACTAGTACTTCATCCCTATATGTTTTACTTTTTGTCCACTTTTAATATACACATTCTCATCTTCATCTTTGTTTCACATTTAATATATATAGTCAACTAAACCATTACCTTAATGGCAAAAAGGTGATGTTTATATCAAAATTTAGCTAGTGTTATTTCTAGATTCAAAAAAAAAAAAAACTTTCTCCCTTTATTTATTAGAAAAAATATATATAATTTTTGAGTAAATTACGTAAATAATTCTCCTATTATAAGACACTATTTTATTAATTTTTTTGTCTATAAAAAGTTATAAAATGATCAGTAGAATTAAAAAAAATAACAAGGCGATTGTTTTTCTTAAAAAAAAATAGATGAACGTGGCAATTAAAAAAAAATTGGTATAATAATAAATTTAGCCTGTAACCTTTATACAAATTTATAATTTTATCGCAATTCTAAAAAATTAATGCTTAGCATTTCGATTTTATATCAGTTTAGTCTCTCTTCCAATTTATTTTCTATTTCTTTTCTCCTTTGTCTCCAATAGATTTAGAAACCTGCAAGGATGAGAATTTTATCAGTAACATTATGAAAAGTAAGAAGCAACGAAAGAGACCATTGTAAACTATTCAACATAATTACGAAATTAAGTTGTTGAAATGGTTGCATGCAGTAGAGAAATGTACTAAAATATAATAGATTTATGAAGTATTAAAAAAACTAATTATATATTTAGAGTAAAAAATCTATTCGATAATTTTAGAGATTGTATTCAAAATATCTTTAATTAAATTGAGTTTTAGAAAGTTTTAATTATGGAGTTTTGTTTAAACTAATATTTTTTGTTTCTAGATAAAAGTGTAAAGGGTTTGAAATTTAGTTAGTTTGAGGTGAATTCTTGCTCTCATTAATAATATATTATTATTACGTACGTTATTGTATGTTTAGTATCAGATCCATAATAGCTTAATTAAATCAAATCAGAAAGTAAGGAGAATGTGTTTTGAGTGTTCAACAAGATGATAACATGAGTTGTTGCACCTTTTCATATCCTAATATAGTAATTAGGAGCTTATATTTAAGCTAATCCCATGATCTAAATTCCAAGTATAAGTGATCTCTAATCTACTCCTTTGTTTTACTTAATTGTGAAAGCATATGTATATGAGATATGGTTTTGTGTTAAATCTTAACAAATGTAATTGTAAAAAAACGTGCTTAGTATTGTTATATATATATATATTTAGTAGGGCTTAATATAAAAATTTGTCCAAATTTTACCATTTTTTTCATTTAAGTGTCTAAACTTTTTCCGATCAATATAGGTATCTAACGTTACAAACATTATCATTTTAAGTTTTTGGTCATAATAGTCGTTAAAAAATATGTTATCTAAGATGTGTCACATTTATATAATTTTGAAATTTTTATTTAAAAATTATATATTTTTTTAAAAATCCTGAAAACTTTCTTAAATCTAAAAAACCCCAAAATATTAAATAAAAAATTTCAAAACCCAAACACCAACAATAATCACCACCACCACTATCCTACTCACTATAATCGACGAACAACCCAATTGTCAACACCCACCCAGTGAGAGGCAATACAACAAAACACAGGTTTAGCGGCCTTTTTTAGTCCTATAGCAGCGTTTTTAAGCACCGCTAAAAACACTTGCGGTGATAGGAAAAACGTCGCAAGAAGCGCTAGCCAAACAAACGCCGCTAAAGTTTGCGGAGTTTGAGAACAAAAAACGACACAATAGGTAAAGATCTATAGCGGCGTTTTTGGAACAAACACCGCAAAAGGTCGAGATATATAGAGGCATTTTCGGAACAAACGCCGCAAAAACTTGAGATATATAGCGGCGTTTTTTTTGTATACAAACGCAACAAACTATTAGATCTATAGCGGCGTTTTTTTTCATAAATTCCATAAATTATCTAAAATTTTTGTGGCATTTTTATGTAAAACGCTGGTATTGATTATGTATTTAGCAGCGTTTTTTATACAAACAACGCTAATTAACACATAATTTACAACCATTGATTTTCGTTCTTCGGTTACCCCAAATTACATTTTCAACCTATTTCATTATCCAACAAACATGACATCTATAACAACAAACTCTATTTCCATAACAACTAACTTCAAATCCATTATAGTAAATAAAAGTTTACATTAACGTAATATGTAATGCAGTTTAACATTGTTTAGTAACATTATCATCTGCATCATAGCTTCTAATCGATTTTCAAATTCTTGACATTTCTGTTGATATGCTGCTTCTTTCTCTGCTATCCTCGCTTCATTTTTGGCTTTCATGTTAGCTATTTTTTGATCCATTTCAGCCAACTGATGTTTTAAACAATTAACTTCTAATTGGAAAGACTGAAATTGTTATGACATGTATTGTGATGAACTGGATGCAAAATATTTGGTGGGAGTAACGAATGATCCTTGACAGCGAACCTGACCATATCTTTCAGGAACCAAAACATAATTAATAACTTGATTTTCGATGTCATCCGCATTAAACATACCATGACTTGAAGCCGTAGCTTCATACTCTGCCCTTTTATCCTTCATTTTTTCATAATAATAAAGTAAATAATTATTTCAAATAAGAATGTCATACTACATATATAAATAAAACATAATTCAAATCCTCTATCCAATAAATGTACCACAATTTCTGCAGCTTCAGCAGTCATAGGAGTGCCATCCTTTTTTGTATGTGTTATGTTGAAGAGTTTGATTCGTCCAACTTTAGAACCAGATGTATTTTCGTACAATGTACCATAATATAATTAATTTGAGTTACTATGTACATGGAATACAAATCACTAAGTGAATAATCTATAATACATCATCATTAGCTATACAAGCAAAGCTCTTCGATCCAACCCTGTGAGTAAACTTTTGTTGTTGCCTGCTAGCAACACTAACTTGCTCTCAGTCCTAAAATTTCAAACAACCACTTATAAAGTCAATATTATAATTCGATAAAATTATTATTGAAAAATACATCATACAAGTCCTTTTTATGAACTCCAATATGATTGTATCTTTCCATTGATACCTGAGCATTCCAGGTGGGACAGTTTATAGCTTCTCTTCAAGGTTGAGATCATTCTTGAAGTATTTCTTTTTTAATGAACTCTTGTGGTCTCTCCATCTCTTCCCTAACGCTTGCTTCAAATAATTATCAGAGACCTCTAAAGAAAATTTCTCCTACACATCAAATAAGTTTTCAAAGTAAGTATAAATTACTATTGAATTGTTATAGATTATCTATTATAATGACATTATTATATTAACAAAATCCAAAGCCTGATTTTTCTTACTATTATACATTTCACGCCACGACTCATAATTGATCAGTAAAAGATTAACATTACGTCCAATTATGCCTGAGTAACCAGATAGAAGACGTGCTTCTGGGCTAATAGATTGACCGACATCGTTTTTTGAAACTTTGACAAGGTGCACATGAGGAAGTTGGTATAATTCCTTCAAAGTTGTACGTCCTCTAGTCTTGTGTGTTCCAAGATTTTCAACTATATAAGAAATTATTAAATGTAAGTTTTCGAAATGAACAAACAATTAAATAAAGTGTCGACCATTACCTTGAATTTTTACAGGTTCTTTAACGTAATAGGAACTTTCGAAGAGTCGACATCATTTGATTCCTAATTATTTTTTGTTCATAATCTTCAGAAGCTCGAACAATCCGTAAATCACTTATTTTTCTCCTCAGCATGATATCTATAATAAACAAACAACATTTTCAGTAAGAAAATGGTTTAATTAATGAATATATTGAAGGACAACATGTTAAAAGTTATAATATTATAAATAAATAAATAAAGATATAAAATCTTACGACATTCTTATGTCATATCAGTTGTCATAAATATCTTCATCAACGTCTTCCCTAACCCATTGAAATTGTATTGTATTAGTGATAGTTTCATCTAAGTTTTGTGCTATAAAAGGTAAAGATTCTGATCTTGTTTCAATGTCATCTCTACTTCCATCCCCAATGTCTATCCAGTCTCTGGGGGTATTATGGAGCACAACATATAAACCATCATCCATTGGATCGTGACAGTAAAAAACTTGTTTCACTAAAGAATAAAATACAAATGGTTCATCCATCAATTGTTGACTAGTGTGAATTAATTGAGAGAAATTCACCATTGTAAAACCGAATTTATCTCTTTTTATGCCTCGAGTAATGTTTACATCAACCCAGTCACACTGAAACAACACAACCTTTTGTTTTCCATAATAATCTAACTCAATAATGTCCGTAATTATTCCATAATAATCAACCTATCCCTCCAAAGGATGATTGTCACTTACACTAGCATAACTTGTAGTTGAAGAAGTAACTACTACTCTACAATTTTGTGTCCTTCTTAATCTTTCACGAGATTTCGTGTGGAACCTGAACCCATT